CGCTCTTCCCCACTCATCCTGTACTTTCTTCTTTATTTTATAGGTAAGTTAGGAGGATCTGACAAAGTACTTCCAAAGCACTAGGTGCTCAGTATGGAGAGATATCATGATGACATGACCAGAACAGAAGAGGGTTTTTTTTTCTTGAAGCCCTCAAATAATAGAAGTTGTGTTCCCAAAGCCATTTCATAAAACAATCTCTCTATTTTCCTGAAGAATTATACTGGTGCTATCAGTATACAGATCATTTTACCTTCAGTTTCCTCTGTTTGAGGAGGTCTTGGTGCACTGACAACCATTCTAAGTGTGTCCTCAGATAAGAGGAATATCAGCACCTGCCCTGGCTGCTGTACAATTTCACCTATACCTGTTTTCCTTCTGCAAGAGCTAGGCACCAATCTTTCCCTTGTTCTGCAGGGAGAGTTCTCTTAAACACCAAGTTCAGGACTAGTCAGACAGTAGAAAACCCCTCCGCTGTTCACTTCTTCTAACACGATGAACATAAGCAACCCGAACCACAGTGATGATTCTGATTTTAGAGTGAGTGGCTCCATCCCACGAGTGAAAGTGAGTTAACTCACCCTGAAAGCCCAGTGCCAGTCACCCGTGACATCTGCCATGCTGGCTGCTAGGACGTAACCAAGACCACTGTAAGCAACAGAAAGGAATAATCAGTAGGCACCAATGAATTCTTGCTGGCTGAAATGACATGTCTTGCCAGCTAAGGAGAGCACAGAGAAGTATTGTCTCACAGTTTTCAAAAACAGATGAACAGAAACAACCCTCATGGTCTATGCTAGTCTTCTTGCCAGCCAGTATTATAAAGAGAGTCTAACCTCCTCAGAGCAGACTTGAGATGGTGGCAGTAATCTCCCAGATTCCTCTTGGAATACATATTCTGTAGAATGACACTGCAAATCCAGATCAGCCCACAAAGCAGATTATTATTATTTTTTTTTTTCTGTGCTAGCCACAGGAATTAAGCCCTGCAAGAATTCCTTTATTTTTAATCTGCTTTCTGGGCTCAACCTTGGCTGCCTGCTCTAATAAAGAGCGTGCCTCTGAACCACTTAAAAAGCCCTTCTCCACCTCTTTTTCAGGCACAGTGTCAATTTAGCTAAAAGAGAAGAGAGGAGTGCCAATTCTTCCTTGCGAAACACTTAATGGAGGGTTCTTGAAAAATTTGTCAAGTAAACAAATATCTGAAAGCTTTTGTTTTCCAAAACCCAGAAACAAATTACCTACCCCTATACACATATTTATTTCAGAATTGATTCAAAAATTTATTTAAAGCCTACTGGTTTTCAGAGTTTAGATTCTCCCTAAAAATGCTGGGGGGGGAAAGCAAATTTTTCTTCAAGGTAAATACAGAAATAAGCCTACCCAGCTCTATTTAAACATGCTAAGCAAGTGACAAATCCTTTTGCAAGAGCCAATGCAGATACACATCAAACTATGTCTAATCAAGGCTCAGGGTATATAGGATTGCAGGCATGGTCAGACAGAATTTCAAAAGGCAGGTCAGTTACTACCAAGAAAACCAACCTTCCCACTGGAATGAAGATATAGAAGACAGATAACATTGTGGTCCTTTTTCCTTCCTCAAACAGGTCTGCAATGATGGTAGGTGCTATTGTGGAATAACTGGCAGTGCCAATGCCAACTAGTCCTCGTGAAAGAATGAATATCCAGTAATACTGCAGGCAAAAGACATATTATAGTCCAAAAAGCCCATGTAAGAAAGTTTAATAGTAAAGAGATGCATTTTAGTGGATCAAATGCACCAGAGGAAATAAGAATTAAATTGTCTATATTCCCTCCGCTCACACCTGCTTCCCTCGCACCTCACTGCTGTGCTTTCTACTTTCTGCACAGTAGTGATTTCTTAGAGTGACAACCAGAGAGAATTACAGGATAGGGTCAAGAGGCCACAAGCTTGCCAAACAAGCTGCTACACGGTAAGATCATAACCAGCAAGAATGTGGGACAAAAATAAGATCCCATCAATTGCAACAGTAATGTGTGGCTTCTCCATTGCTGAGGCTGGACTCCACCATCCCATAAAGCATTCCTGTTTTAGTCCAGGGCTGGGGAGTGAGTGCTCACTGACAGCTTTTCCAAATGTTATCAGACAAGGACTCTGTCAACTCCTGCAAGACATATGCAGATTGTTTTCACAGTACCTTCTAAAAAGCAACATACCCATTCACTGATGAATGAACTGCCTAATGTTACACCAGACCAGAAGAAAATACCAGCTCCAAGGATGATTTTCCTATTGTACCGGTCACCGAGGTATCCAAAGACGGGGGCAGCCAGCATGTAACACAAGATGAAGACTGGAAATCCAAGAAGGAGCAAAGACAATATTGGTCAAATTATTCTTATCATACGTACTCCTCACCCCTCAGACAAACTCAGGTTATTTTTTAGCGCAGAAGTTAAAGGCAGGCTGAGTTTGTAGAACAAGTAGGTAGCTTGATATTTAGAAAAAGATAAATGCAAATTAAAAAAAAAAACTTATACAAAAATAAAACAAGTTCTGTATTTCTTAAGAAATTCCTTCATCTTTTGTGATTCACATACCGTGGGATTTTTCAAGGACTCGGCTCCAGCCCTCCCTGAACCAAAGACTTTCAGTTTTGCCTTACAGTCAGTCTGACCACAAGTGGAAGTAAGCAAAACCACACACGAGGAGGAACTAGAAGAAATAAGTAACTAGACTCTGTTTTAGGAACAGATCACGTAGATGCAAGGCAAAGAAAACTATCTGACCTTAAGAGATTTTGTTACCTGTTTGCAGTAGACCTGTATCCTCATCACTAAGCTTGAAGTATTTCTGTATATCTAACAGGATCCCTGCAACAGAGTCAGACACTGAATGACAGCAAAGTACCCGGCTCATTCCTTGTAATTCTATTAATTTGCCAACTCAAAGATTTCTTTCAAGAACAGAGCTTGCAAGAACTGCAGCACATCAAGCTTGCTAGTTTACATGTAAACCATTATTCTAACTCAAGCACAGATACACAGAGAATTAAAAATTCTTGTCACTATAGATAAAATTCATTATATTCCACTGTATAGGTCTTAGCAGAGTCAGTTTACCCACTATTTCAATCACAACTGTTCTGTTTCTTTTGCACCACTAGTATGTAAGCACATAAGCAATTTACAGTTCAAAGTTTAATGGACACAATGTCGAACAAAACAGTGGCAAAGTTTTGCAGCCAGGACATTACTATCTTCATACAGCTAATCCTAAAATTTTCTTAATGACCTTAAAATGTTAAGACGAGTTTAATTCCCTTCTGTTAAGAACAACTGTTAATATTTTCAGTATGTACAGTATTCAAATTAGTGCATGTTGGATTTTTCAGGATGCAAATGGCTACAGTCTTCATTACCCAATGGTGGCTCAATCAGCCCATAGCCAGGGAAATACTGCTGTAACTCAGATCACAGCTCCGATCGTGTAATTCTGTTCATATTTCCATGACAATTTTGCAGAGATATAGATAACTGTGCATTTACAAATTAACATTTTTAGTGCTGACAATGACAGACAAACTTAAACAAAAGTGATCATTTCTATTTGTGATTAACAGCTGACAGAAATTCCATCTCCATTTCTAACCATTCAATAGCTGTGGAGAAAGGCTAGCAGAGTTGTCAAAAAGTGTGAAAGTCAGTCAATGAGCAACAACCTGAGGGAAGACCCATGGACCTGGCACCTCATGGATGCATGAATGCTGTTCAGACAAAAAGGTCATTTTCATCTCTACATCATGCCAAGGCTGCAGATCTACCATCTCACCTATCTTGCATTTTGTTGAATAGTAGAATCATTAAGGTTGGAAAAGACCTCTAAGATCATCAAGTCCAACCATCCACCCAACACCACCATTCCTACTAAACCATATCCCAAAGTGCCATATCTACACATTTTTTAAACACCTCCTGGGATGGTGAATCAACCACCTCCCTGGGCAGCCTGTTCCAGTGCCTGACCACTCTTTCAGTAAAGAAATTTTTCCTCATATCCAATCTCAACCTCCCCTGATGCAACTTGAGGCCATTGTCTCTTGTCCTATTGCTGGTTACCTGGGAGAAGAGACCAACCCCTGCCTCACTACAACCTCCTGTCAGGTAGTTGTAGAGAGCTTCCTCTTCTCCAGACTAAACCACCCCAGCTCCCTCAGCCACTCCTCATCAGACTTGTTCTCCAGATCCTTCACCAGCTTTGCTGCCCTTCTCTGGACACACTCCAGCCCCTCAGTGTCCTGCTTGTAGTGAGAGGCCCCAGACCTGAACAGTACTTGAGGTGCGGCCTCACCAGTGCCGAGTACAGGGGCACAATCACCTCCCTACTCCTGCTGGCCACACTATTCCTGCTACAAGCCAGGATGCTGTTGGCCTTCTTGGCCACCTGGGCACACTGCTGGCTCACGGTCAGCCAGCTGTCAGCCAACACCCCAAGATCTTTTTCCACTGGGCAGCTTTACAGCCACTCTTCCCCAAGCCTGTAGCACTGTGTGGGGTTGTTGTGACCCAAGTGGAGGACCTGGCACTTGGCCTTGTTGAACCTCACATAGCTGACCTCAGCCCATCGATCCAGCCTATCCAGATTCCTCCGCAGGGCCTTCCTACCCTCAAGCAGACCGACACTGCCGCTCAGCTTGGTGTCATCTGCAAACTTATCGAGGGAGCCCTCAATCCCCTCATCCAGATCATTGATAAAGATACTAAACAAGACTGGCCCCAAAACTGAGCCCTGGAGAGCACCACTCGTGACCGGACACCAGCTGGATTTAACTCCATTCACCACAACTTTCTGGGCTTGGCCACCCAGTCAGTTTTTTACCCAGCGAAGTGTACACCTGTCTAAGTCATGAGCTGCCAGCTTCTCTAGGAGAATGCATCTTCTTCTCTAGGAGAATTTCTGCATTATATTCCTGAAAAAAACTAAAAATAGCAGAAGATACTGCTTTGAACAAGCATACCTTTACTCCGATATTGACAGATATTATTAAAAAAAGAAATTTCTTCTCATGCAGCTTGAATTTTGCCAAAATAGTCAAAATCAAAACATCACTAAGAGGATGAAGCCAGTGCTTCAGAAAACAAGTTCTGTGTAAATTGTCTGCTGTATTGACAGAAGCTGATCTGCAGCAGAATGGAGCTCAGGGTGAGGTTAGCAAGAGCTACCTATTCTGCTCCTACAGTGTATTTTACATGTTGTGCCATATACTATGCTGCTGCAGCCACTTAAAAGCATTGTTGAGCCAGCTAGTTTAAAGCTAAATCCATGCTCTCCCACAGTCCCCGTGGCTGCAGCGTAATCAGTTTCCTCACTATTTACTGATGTGACTTGAAGTCAGTGTAGATCAAGGTCTAGCCTAACAGCAGCACCGGAGGTTTTATAGCTGCTTCTCAATGACTCTGGAACATACTCTGCATTTAGGGTTTTCCTAATGGTCTCAGAAGTTTAAGTCCGTGACTTCATTCAAATATTTTGCATCATTGAAACAGGACAATCAATTGTATTTATTCTTTCTGGTGGCTGATAATCAACACACAGAGATACTCCATTAGAGGACCTTCAGTTTTGGACTAATAGAGTATTTAGAACAAATCACAGCTAATACAAGACTTGAACTGAACCACAACTTCATGGCAAACTAACTTTCACACTGAGCACCATTAAAGTGTTCTCCCATTCACATAACTGCAATAACTGGCCTGACCAGTTATTGGCAAATTACAAAGCATCGATCTGAACAGTGTGGAACAAGGTAACAGATCAGAGGGGACAAACTGAAGACTCCATTCCAGCAGACAATTAAGGGGAAGAGCTTGTCTTCTGTGTGAAGACTGATGCAAACTCTGTCAAAGCCTGTGAGCAAAACTGCCCGGAAACCACAACTTCATAACTGCCACCAGCTTACTTTTAAACTAATACTCAAGCTTCTCGTTCTTTACTTTCCTGTTAACTTTTATTTAACAATATGTTCATACACATGGAAAGCCAAACTCAAAAGTACCGATGCAAGAATTCTGCAATGTAGCAGAATTCTAGCAGATGAACAGTATATTGCGGTGGTATAAATTGCAATTTACAGATTTCCCTCATGGCCCAAAAGGTCACAGAGTTAACTAAAAAGTGTTTTAGTCATATATTGTGATTAACTGTAAATGTTTGATATTTCAAAGGCCTGGACTCTATGCCCACCTCTGCTCTTGAATTCTTACATGTCCCTGAAGCTACCTCACTCACGAGAAACTGAGCAAGTTAACAAGTAGGCAACCTTTACTTCACAGGGCTTCTTGAAAATTTTAAGCCCTTAGAATGTGCAGGAGCCAAGGAATAGTTCAAAGCCTAGAATGAGCCAAATGAGTGCTTGCACTTCATACTTCCAAGTGCATACCCTCCTCGCATCCCAGTTCTTGCTTGAAGATATTTTCATCTTCCTCTGCTCCCTGCCCTGCTCCAGGGAAAATTACTTGACAATAGAACTCATACACTGAAATTTTTCACTAACAGTCTTGCAGTATCATTCAGCATGCACTCTTACTTGTTTCTTTCCCTCTCATGTGTGTGGTTAAGAAATATTCAAAAGAAAAAAGTTTAAACTCTAAAACCCACTAGCTTCTCATTTTTCAAAGATACTGACCAAATGTCTTAAATTTCTGAATGGCTGAAATAGTAAAAATAATCATTTTGTGTAGAATTACAAATTTAACAATCTGTCCTTTGGGTCTTTTCAAGATTTTAAAACATTTATGATTTCCAGGCCACTCAGAAATAAAATATAGCAAGCTCACAAGTGTTTCCTCCTACTTTATAAATCAGATTCCTGGAAGCATGGTAGATGCTTGGAAGTGATGCTAAACAGAAGAATTTACACAGACCACAGTCTACATGGAAGGAAAAAACACATTTCCCACCAGTTTACCAGAAGCAATGCTTTGCTGTTCACGGCTAAGTAAAAAAAAAAAAAAAAAAAAAATTAATTTACATTTTGGAAGAAGGATACTATTTATTAGAAAACAAGTTGCAAATTTGGTAGGTGATGCTTAAGGAAGTTGGTCTCCGTTCTCTTTACACAATCATGGTACACTCTTCCTTGCAGAAGTCACACAATATCCAGCAGATCATGCAGAAGTCAAGCCTCCCCTAAACAAACCTGCACAAAGTTCACATAATTTCTACACTTTTAACAGGGGGAATGGCATCACTGTTCTTCAGATAATGGAATGCCATATCTAATCTACTAGATCCAAAGAAGGCCCGGTGAGCTGCTGTATACAATAAAGGGAAGCTTTAGTCAAATCTCTGCAGAATCCAGACACAAAACCAGACTAGTTGCTCTGTATGCTAAAGTCTGTTTAGAAGAGACTTAGACTTTAAAGTATGAATATTAAGCATTTAACTGATGTGATTTTTATAAGCATTCTACTAACCATTAATAACTAACACATTATTTATTGGTCTTTGAGGTTTATAATTGGAAGTTTCATTATGAGAATGACCAACTGGATAAAGCAAGGACGTGAGAAAGATCAAAAAGATATAAAACATATCCTTACATTAGAAGACATTTGTAACTACAGAGTAAGTAGAGCTGTTGAGAATTTAAATTTCTTTTCCTTAGAAGGATGAAGTAGGCTCTCACCTGGTACAATGAACCAATCCATGAAATTTATCAAATTGGCATAGCACAGCACAGCAGCTGTCAGGTAAGCTCTCTTTGCTGGATCATTCCTTGAGCCAGACACAAATGGACCTTGTCTCACATGTGCCGCAGTAGCTCCGTAACTCTGCTCCTCGGGAGGCGGCTGGGACTGCAAGCCTGTGCTTTCATGTGCACTGGGGTTTTGCATAGTTCCCAGCGCAGAAAGGCACCATAGATTATGAAGTGTTTCCTTAGCGCACCACGCTACAAGTCAATTTTTTGTTCGGGCTATGAGGAACTTCAATCACTACGGTCATTTCCGTCAGTGAAGCCCAGCCACTAAAAACTGAAATTTAATGTTAACATTCCCCGCAGTAGGAAGAACGTTGCAGAGGAAGAAGCTGCAGGCCTGTGTTTTTGCAAAAGCAAAAGTGCTGAAATGCTAGACCCTGAAGACAAGGAAAAGTAAATGTAAACAAAAGCAAGATAGTCCATTGTGCATCCAAGGAAAAAAAATGCATAATTTTGCAACAATCTCACAGAAACTGCATATGCAAAATTAATAATAATCTTTACTAAGGTCTCAGTGAGTTGCCAGAGCTAAAACCAGCCTTTCTAGAGAAGAGAGGGAAAGGAAGAAAGAGAAAGTCGTTTGCTAGACCAGGCACATATCTTTGACTTGAGCCCTCCTTTGCTTCTTGTGCAACTCTGGACAAGTCATTTGCTTCCTCTGCACCTCAGATCTTTATTCCTGCCACACACACACCCCCTCCAGCCTTTAAAACAGGGCTACCTAGCCTTGTCCCTGCCACCTGACCAGTCACTTCTCCCTGTTACCTCCTGCCTGCTTTGCACTTCCCAGATCTACCCCCAGAACAAAATCCTTTCCAATAAGGTCCTGAGTTCTTAGGTCAAATCAGCTCTTTAAGCAGAAGAGTCATACTCTGGAGTACTTGCTGGCTTTGTTTTTTTGGTTTTTTTTTTGGTTTTGTTTTTTTTAACGGGGGGGATACCAAACAAACAAACCCCCCCAAATAACCCAAAATGCTACAGTAAGCAGAGAAAAAGAGATGGAAACAAAACCACTCTTCTTCACCCCTGCTGGAACTGTGCATATTCCACGGTTCTGAATTGTGCAACAGGATTTCTTCCCCTTTCTCCCCCAAAAAGGGGTCTAAAAGGGGAAGAAAGGAGGACACAGGAAGGCGTTCTTGTTCTTTCAGGGTGCGTAGATACCTTTCTTCCGGCCACTCAGATCTGAGAAAGTAGTCTTACTCAATTCTTCCAGGATCAGTTTTTCCATTGTATTAATTATTTTTTAGATACATAACTAGTCACATGTCTTTTGAGCCATTTTGTGGCTTACCAGGTTCAGAAGAGAATTTATTTTTTTGCACCCTGTTAAGAAAGTTTAAAGTGAGAATTAACAGTAAACTGTAAGAGTTTGAGTGAGGCAGCTAATGGGAATGAGTACTGATTACAGTCTATGACAAGAGGATTTTTTTTTTTCTTTAAGAACTGTGCGTTTGACACTTCAGACTAAACTGAAAAACAAAACAGCACCTAGTATTCTTGGCCATTTTGCAAAATGCAGACTCCTTTACTTTTGCCCACTCAACTCTTTAGTATGTCATTCTGTCTTCATTTCATGAAGATCTAGTTCTTCTTGAACCAGAAGGCATGTTTAGTTTCATCATGGGTAAGTCCACGTTAATTTTATTTCAAGAGCGGTCTTTTTTTTTGGTAACATCTTGGATCTTAACTTTCTAAAGGAGGATTTAGACATAGATTACGGGTATCTCTCCCTACTCTTGCTCAAGGGAGCCCCATGTAAGTCAGCTTGTGTCTGAAAACATTTCAGAGTGTGTCAGCGTACCATCAGGAAGCAATCTTGACTCTCTATTCCATATCATCACTGCTACCTTTGTCGCCACTACAGAACCTTCACAGAGTAAATGTCACATTCTCTATGCACCCCGCTGCTTTATTAAACCACCGAAGCTGAGAGTTAACTATACTCGGGAACAATAAAGAATCAGCACAATTCTCTA